CTCTGAGATCTGAGAGTATGAAACTCAACATTTTGTTGGGTATTGTCTCCTCAATGCCAGACCTAGGGCCTCACCAGTCCCACAGCTTTGTTTAATACAGCCATCTAGAATTGCTATAATTCACGAACAATTTAAAATCATCTACTCCACCCACCCCAGTAAAAAAACACCAACTCTGAGCAATCTTATAAGCAAGATTTTTAGCACCAGGCTCAAGAAACAGCTTCTGACATGAATATATTATATGTAAAGGGGCAAATGTTCAAGCATATGAATTACTACAGGAATATCTTTTCAGAATGAAGACAAAATCAAATTAACCTTTAGAAAGTGAATTACTTTCCTCTTTTAAGTTCATACTCGAAAGCATATAAGGGGTAAAGCCAAAATTTCGTTACTTTGAAAAGATGACAAAGATAACTATTTTCTTTAACAATTCAAATAAAAATACTGAATTTAAAAAAAATGACTGTTAAATAGAACTAGGTGGGGGCTTAAAAATGTAATAACAATACAGGTTTAAATTTTTAAAATATCCCCATGCTTTCTTCTTGCTCTTTGAGGCACCTCTCTCCTTTTAAATCCTCCTATGTCTACCAAAGTGTTTTCCTGTATCACAAGCCAATAACTTCAGAAGTGGAATACAGGTTATTAAATTTGACCCTCCTCTGGGCCTCCCAGGTGGCGCAGCGGTTGAGCGCTGGGTTGCGAAGCTGCCCGCGGCCTCTGCGGCGCCGGTTCGATCCCCGGCTGCTCCCCGGCCACCTGAGGAGGGTCCCACATGGCGCGCAGACCTCTCCTGCCGCCCGCTGCTCCCCTCAGCAGTGTACTTCGGTCCTTCTGCCTGCTCTGCTCCCCACTCTGGCTCTGGTGAATTCTCTCGCCCTCCCGGCTTCTGACTGTACCCAGTGCATGTATAAACCAAACAAACAAACAAATAGATAAATAAGACATGCCTCTAGAAAATTAAAAAAAAAAAAAAAAAAAAAAGTTTGACCCTCCTCTGGTACTCACCCTCTGACACATTTCACTAAATTAGAATTTATTACTCAAAGGACACAAAAACATTGATTCAAAAGACCACCTGTACCTCTATGTTTATTGCAGCACTATTCACAATAGGTAAAACCTGTAAACAACCCAAATGCCCAAAAATAGATGACTGGATCAAGAAGATGTGGTACATATACACAATGGAATACTATTCAGCAATCAAAAAAGGTAAAACTCGTGCCATTCACAGCAACGTGGATGGAGCTAGAAGGAATTACGCTCAGTAAAACAAGTCAGAAGGAAAAAGAAAAATACTGGATGGTTTCACTTACAGGAGGAATATAGGGGAACTAAATAAGACATCAGTGTAAAAAAATAATAACAGTACAAAACACAACAAAACAAAAACAGACAATTATAAATCAGAGACATCCTGCAGGGGAGGAGGAGGAAGAGGGATCGGAGGAAGGGAGGGAGGAGCACATGGGACTGAAGTGATGGTGCACAGGTGCACTGGTGAAGGAAATTCTATGGGAACTACACCTGAGGGGAGGGAAGCAAATATTGTTTAAAAATGAACAGTGATGTAATAAATAAATAAGAATTTATTCACATTGATAAAACAATTCTAAAAACAAGCATTGAAAAGGTTAATTCTAGGGACCTCCCTGGTGGCACAAGGGGTTAAGCACCGCACTATGAAGTAATCCACAGTTTCTGCACCATGAGTTCGATCCCCGGCCGGCCAGAGAGCAACCCACATGGCACAGCAGACCTCTCCTGTCTTGCCCACTGCTCCCCTCATCAGTGTATTTCAGTCAGTCTGCCTGTTCTGTTCCCCACTTTGTCTCTGGTGAATCCTCTCACCCTCCGCATCTCCGGTCTGTACCCAGCTCTTGTGTGCTAAATAAATAAATCTTTAAAAAAAAAAAAAAGAAAAGAAAAGGCTAATTCTATATTACCTTTCAACTAAATCTCAAGGAAGAGAGGGAATGAAGAAAGAACAGGGAAGAGGTTGGATGTAACGGCAGGACAGGACACTGAGCAGGATCTCTATGATCCAAGCAGACAGGTGAAGGAGAGAGTCCTGGAGCCCTCGGTGGCTTTTGCAGGTGTAGGGTAAAGAAAATATCAGGCTTTTCTGCCCTTCCGCCATCAGGATAGATGATGGATCCTTGTCCTGAATGCATGCCTGATGGCGGGCACCTGGAGTAGGGTGTGGGCATAGGTAGATGGGATTCAGCTGAGTTAAGACTGTGCTTTTAAGGGCGGCGTCACGGGGACGCCAGCAGCAGCAGCAGAACCTGAAGGAGAAGCCGAAGCAGAAGCAGAGAACGCCAGAGAGCCCAGATAGAGTGAAGACTTGCTGGGGGCTGGGAGGTCTGCCAGCCTCCCAGCCCCCCAGCCAGCATCCCTGCCTGCCATATGCCTGGTGAACCCCAAATAAAAAAACCTGCAAAACTACTGAGGACTCTGACTCCTCCTTTACCTGGTCTGCATGGGATCAGAAAACCTGCACCGTGTCCAGTCCTGCCCTCTACAGCAGGCTTTTATTGGGATTTACCAGGTATACGGCAGGCAGAGGTGCTAGGGGGTGGGGGTAGGTGTGCCGGGAGGCTGGCAGGCCTCCCAACCCCCAGCATGTCTTCACACTTTCTGGGCTCTACCGGCCTTCTCTCTCATTCTCTCTGCTCTCTGCTCCTCTCGTGGTTCTCCTTCTCTGCTGGCATCTCCGTGACGCCGCCCTTATAAGCCTGGCCCTGGCCCAGGTGAATCCCATCAACATATGCCCACACCCTACTCCAGGTGCCACCATCAGGCATGCATTTAGAACCGCAAGGATCCATCATCAATCCTAATGGCGGGAGGGCAAAAAAGCCTGATATCATTTACTTACCCTACCTTTGGGAAGAAATAATCTGGGAAATAAAGACTACTTAGGACTATCAGAAGACACACAGGATTAGGGAACCATGCCTCAAGTGGGTAGCGTAGGAAATCCGCAATAAAGTTTTAGACCTAAATGTGCAAAATAGGAACAAAAAGCCTTCACTGGAAATGACATAGAGTTTAGATGGTAAAAGCCATGCACGTCACGGATACTATTGATGCATTAAATATCTTATAGGGTATAGCTAAGTAATAGTAATATTGTCAGTATTAAACATTTTCTTTGAAGTTTTTTTTAATTTATCGTTAAGTCAGAATTGATAGGCAGAATGTATCAAATACAGTTCACTCAAATATTTAAAAAGCTCCATTCAAAACAGCTTAGTAATCCCTTTACACCAGTATAAAACAAAGGTTTTTACCAGATTTTCAATGGAGTTCTCCCAAGGACAACATTCAGGTGGGTGAAATAATTATAAGAGCCATATGTTTATCAGTATTTAAAACAAGAGGAACAAAATACATTCTTTGCTGTCATTGAAAACTCAATATAAGGTTTTCTTTTTACAATCATCAGAACTGTATTTCTTCATCTTTTTGCCACTTTTAAACTATGCAGATACTTTCTTTACTATACTAGAAATATAAAGCATGAAAAATTCTTTAAAATGAAAGTTAGCCTGCCAAACTGCTTTGCCAAAAACTAGCAAACAACTTTGACTAGACCACTGAACTCTGTTCAAGTTGTATCTTCATTCAACATGAAAATCATCATCTACCAGACAAGCAACAAATGTTAGGCACTAAAGATACAAAATTGAACCCCTGCCTTTGAGGCAGTCAGAGTCATTTGAAAGAGACATATGAGCAGATAATCACAATGCTACCTGATTAAGTCTTACAACAGGATATATGAACGCACTGTGCAAAGCATAAAAGTCACTGTCATTTCTGAGGACTATGCTCAATCTGTTCAAGAGGATTTGACCATTAAATTCATTTGTAACCAAACAGTTGGGCCAGTCAATTTGTAAGGTCTCTTCTGTTAAAAGTAAGGCAGGGCGAAAAGCTGAAGGTGGAAACCTTATGAAGATCTTTTTTTGTCAATAGGCCTGGTGCCAGCAATTCCAGTCTGTTGGTTATTAATTTAATCTCTGTATCAAAAAAATCTAATCTCTGTATCAAAATCCTTTTTCTTCTCTCATACTTATCCTCTACCTATATTCCTTTTGCTGGTAAATGGTAATAACATATAAAAATGAACTTTCCTTAACCAATGACTCACGAATTTCTGTTGATTCTACTCCATACTATCTCTTTACTCCATCTACTTCTAGTTCCGTGGCTACCATCATTTCCTCCCTTGAAGGTTTCATTAGCCTCCAAAATTCTTCCTGTCTCAAATCCCTTATCCCAATCAACCAATTTATCTCATTTACAACAATCTTTTAAATTCATATTGAACTTCTTGCTGTTTCCTCAATCTATAGTGCTTATTTGCTATAGAGTCTTCCAACACTTTCTCGAAGGAGAATCAGGTAATCCTCCAACTGATCATCCAGCATCCTCTGCTTCATTACCATAGTTAACCATACACAGTGTTTTCATTGCCCGTCTATAAATCCCAGGATACTGTTAAGTTTTTTAAGGACAGAAATTATTTTATACCTTCTTGGATTTCCTATGTAGATCATTATACAAAATTCACGTTTGATAACCATTTGTTGAAAGCATAAGTGAATGAATGAACAAACTGCAAAGAAATTTAATGTTCTACAACTTGTCATATTTACTACCCATACTACAGAAGCCTCATCCTTTAGCAAGATCATATTTAAGTCATGAGACATCACAAATAACCTGCTTTTATAGAGACAGAAATAAAGAAGACTATCCCATAGACTCAAAAATCAAATGAGCTTTAAAATGTATTTGCATCTTCTCCTTTACTAGGATAAGCTGAATATGTAACTTATATTTTGGAGTGAAAACACACATGTCAGAATCATGATACATTTAAAAGTTAAGATTATAACTACATAAGCACTATAATTTTCACAGGTAAAATGTTATTTGTTTTTTAACATAAATGAAGCTATACCTCATCAAAGACTTACCGATTCTTTTCCAGCTCATTGTGTGTAGACCTAAAAGGGGGGAAAGAGAGTATTAGTCATGTTTGTTGCTAACGCTACAGAAAAGGGAATCGTTTAGTTACTGCTATAACATACCCAGAATTTATTTGACAATGCAGTGGATGATTAGATTTCTACAATCTCACTCCTCAAGAAATAGTCCATTCATTAGCACTGTTCATTCAGATAGTGTTTTCAGTTAATAGTTTTAGATATTCTGATACCAATATTTCATTTTTATTTTAATAAAATTAATATAGGCACATGTTCTGTTGCCAGAATTCTACATTTTGGGGACCATAGATATATCAAATTTTAATTCAAACATAATTCCATTTGTTCACAAATTATTTAAAAGGCGGATGTACTTCTATGTCCTTCTCCATTTTATTTACCTACTCCTAAGCACAGGAAGAAGAAAATTGTGCCTAGCATAGAAACTATATACAGGTTTGCCTTACTAATAAAGTGATACACAGTCAAAGTCTTCTGCCTTTTATGTGAAACATGAACAAGAAAAGGTTACTGTCTTCTGCTCACTTTTTGTTTTCTTAGCAGTTTCATAAGGTCCAAGTGACAGTGATGTTCCTTTTCAAGATATTATCTTAAGAAAAGGACTTATCCCTCATAGGAAGTTTTAAAAAAAGTTCTAAACTGCTTCAAGAGTTCAGGCAAAGTAATGGCATGTGTACACCTCAGATAGAAGAAACAATAAAAACATAAAACTTTTAGTCTCATAGACACTCAGAGCTCAAAACCCAAATAAAATGAAAATTTAAAGTTTTGATTAAGTTCTTTGTGTTTCAATGAAACACCAAAGAAAATCAATATGTCAAAATATGGAAAAGGCCTATTTTGAGAGGTTTAAAAATATATATATATTGTTCAAATTTTCAATAGGTAATCAGTGAAATCTCCCATCTCCTTTCAGAGAGCACGTGTTGGTTTAATTTGCCTTTTTCTAAGAAGTAAATTTAGAACAAGTAAAACAAAGGCAATGAAATACTAGAGTAAGTGATGACTGGAATAAACCATTTAGAGGGAAGTAAGTTATTTACCATTAACTCAATCTAAACAGCCTGACAATCCCACCTATAGCGGTAAATATAAAACATAATATACCCAAAGATAACCAATTGTTGAATTCAAATATCATACTGAGCCTATTATCAAAGCTAGCACCAAAAGAATAGTCTGACCTACTGCTGTGGACAAAATTAAAACAGCAGGTTCTTTCCATCTCTTTCAAACTTTTCTGTATTATTTATCTTCTATTTAAAATATGTATTTAAAAATGTTAGCTAAAATTATGAATTTCTCACCAAACAAGAAAGTGCATGCCATATCTAGGTATAATGCCAGTAAAATTTAATCAGATTTCCAAATACCAAGAAGCAAAAATGATTATATATGTATCAGTCTTTACCCTATCACCATGTTCCTCCATTAAAACAAAATGCATCAGTAGTGTTTACTCCTATTTCCATAGTTTATTTTGCCTATAATATCAAGTCACAAATAGCATCTTCAACGTTCAAGACTATCTTAGGCTGTGGGAAATCAAAGACAGTCTCTGATTGGTAAATTAAAACACATACAGAAATAATTATAACGCAAAGCAAAATAAATATATAGAGAAAGGTACAAAAGATAATGGGAGTTTATAGGGGGATGTTGACTTCCAAATGGGGTTATCAGAGAAAACTTTTTTCAAAGGTGACAGGTGGCGTAGGGTTTAAATAACGAGTATATTTGCTACTTGTAGCAGCTGGTTATGGTAGGGAGAGGCCATTCCATGTGGAAAGGATAACATAAAGATACAAGTAGAGTTGTGAAGTCCTAAACAAAACCAGAGACAAATAATGAACAGGTCAAAAGGACCCACTGAAAAAGTCCTACATTTAAATATTAACTCTGTCACTCACACTAGCTGTGTAACTTTCGACAAATTATGTAACCTCTCTGATTCAGTTTACTCATTTGTAAAATTAGAATAATATCTTGCCTAGCTTAATGTGAGGATTAGAGAAACATATGCAAAAGCATCTTGCGTGTAACAAGTATTCAATAAATGTTGTTACACGCATGTTTTGTCACTGAAAATATTAACAAGATAAAAATACCCAACCCAAAACAATGTTAAATATATTACATGGGACAATAAATTGATAGGTTCTCAGTAACACCTGAAATTAGTCTGGAAGTAAACAACCATAATGATGAAAAGAGAAAATGAAAGATAGCTATTTTGATCAATTACTCAGCTATGAGGACAGTACAGGTTTAGGGTATGGCAGAGAGAAAGACGCTAATTACATGTACACAGAGAAAATAATGATCCAAACAGCACAAGCATTAAATGAGTAATTGGACATATCATATACCAGCACACCCAAAAATAACTGCTTTGCTTCTCTGAGCCTATGTGATCAACCCAAGCCCTTCCAATAACATGTCACTGAAATAGTCAATTATGATAAATTCCCTCTAAGTTTGAGATGTTCTGAATAATCCATATGGTTAGCTCATTTTTCTCCTCCAAATAAAATGCACCTCTGACAGCCAACACAAATGAACTATCTTCTTTTCAGACACCCTTAATCTAAACACTTTAACAACCTCCAAGGACAGAAAGACATTTCTGTCATTTTATCATTGAATCACAGGTAATCTTTTCCACAAATATCCCTTTACGAGTGACAACATACTGCATTTTGTATTTGAATGGGCTTCATTATCTCAACCAGAGCTGTAACTTTTCATTGACTATAACACAGCTCTAATACATAACTTTTAATTCTTTAGGGTATAGTTTGGTGGCAGTCAATGAAATGAAGCATAGAATTGAAACTAAACAAAATGTTAGTTTGGTTCAAGTGTTGTGCCCCCATGGAAGAAAAAAATGAAAGCCCCCATTCCAAGAATATTCTCTTCAAGCAAAAGAAAACACCTCTAATTTGCTGAATTAATGAAAAAACCCTCAATTTGTTAAAATTTTCATTCAATTACTTTCTAATTCTTAAGTACCTAATAGATGTTGCCCTCATTACAATGAATAGAACACATTCTATGAAGCTAAATTATATTCTAAGTGCATCCTAAAGCTTATACTCATATACACATATTTAAAGGGTAATAAGAACAGAAAAGTTTAGCTACATTAGAGCGGGGATCTCTAAAGTAAACACTTGAAGGGGGATGAAAAAGAAAATCTAGAATTAGTGAAACAGTAAAACTTCTATTCATATTTATTATTCTTCCAATCATATTTTACTCTATAAAACATTACCACAGTAACAAATGTATACAATTATAAATACATACAATGGGGACAGAATTTTTTTGCTGCTGCTGGTATAAAGTATCAATGAAGTTTAACATACACCATAATCAACTGACAATGAAGTAATTCTTTCAGAAAAGTAGTGCTGCACATTTGCTTCTATCAAAAGCACATTAAAAAACCATTAAAGATAGTAAAACTTGAATACTGCACGTTCAGAAAAAAATGCCTCATAGCAAATCTATGTCTCCCTTAACAATGACAAAAACATAACCACCATAACCAAGGCCACCAAAATGCAGGTGTCTAAAAAAGATGCATAACAACAAAATCAACATTTTTTTCCTTGAAATTTACATATCAAAGCTAAATGTAAGCATACCGAATGAAGATACAGGAAGATACCAAACTATATAATATACATAGATATGTTCGCCAAAGAACATACAAAAGAATGATCATCCTTTTCATACTATCCAAAAGCGGGAAACAACTCAAAAATCCAGCAGTAGAGTGGATAAATAAATTGTGACATATTCACACAATGTAATACTACCGAGCACTGAAAATGCAGAATGATTATACAATAACAAGGATGAATCTTCACAATTTAGATACAATGTTGAGTTTAAAAAGGAAGACACACAAAAAATATAACTCCATTCATATGAAGTTCAAAACTGGCAAAGCTAATTTATGGCATAAGGACCTGCGTGTCAGAAAGACCAACCATATCTTTTCAAGGCTGGGGCTCTGAGCCCATGATAATCAGTCAAACTCAAACCTCCTGGGACAGGAGAGTTGCTAGACACTGAGTTAAAACATGTGAACAGTGATTCACTCAATTGTGACTACACAATGAAATAAAAACCTTGGCATCTGAGGCTCAGGTGAGCTTCCTGGGGATGTGTTGGTGACCACATCCATATGCTGGGAGAGTAAGGCATCCCAAGTCCACAGGGAGAGGTCACAGAAGTTCCTGTCCTGGATTCTCCCAAATCCTGCCCTATATGTGTCTTCATTTGGTTGGTCCTGATTTATGATCTTTATAGTATAACTTTTAATCATAAATGTAACACTTTCCTGAATTCTGTGAGTAATTCTAATGGATGATAGTACCTGAGGAGATTATGGGAACCCCCAAATTTGTAGTCAGTTATAATTAGTGCCGGTGTCCTGGGAATTCCTACACTTGTAACTGGCATCTGTAATGAGGAGAGCCTTGTTGGGGACTGGTAACCTTACACTTGTGGAGTCTGTGCTAGAAACAAGTGGTTAGCATCAGAACTGCAAAATACACCATCACCAAACAGGGTTTATTCCAGGATGACAGAGTGGACACACATGCGCGCGCACACACACACACACACACACACACACACACAAATGAATGTACTCTACCATGCTAGCAGAACAAAAAAGAGAAAAACCACAGTATTATCTCAATAGATGTATAAAAAGTATGTGACAAAATTCAATATCCAGTCGTAAGACTCTGAGTAAATGAGATTAAAAAAAAAGAGCTTCCTTAGTCTGTGAAAAGGCATCTATAAAATATCTACCATTATCATGCTCAATAGTGAAAGAATGTCTGTTTTCCCCAGGTTAGGAATAAGGCAAAGAAGTTCACTCTCACCACTTCTACTCAGCACTGTACTAGAGGTTCTAGCCAATGAAAGAAGTCAAGAAAAAAGTGCAGACAGAATGGAAAAGAAAATCTTTATTGCAAACATTATTTATTGTCTATTTAGACAATCCAAAAAATATTACTAGAACTAACATGTCAGTTTAATAAAGCCAGTTAACAAGATCAATAGATCAGGTTCAACTGCCATTTAAAGTAACACCAAATAATTAAATATTAAATAATTTAATATTTTTAATACTTTATTATGTGCTCGACCTATACTCTAAAATGCTAAAAATACTGAACTTTTAAGACATCTATATAACTACATAGATGGAAACAATAGATTTTATAAATCAAAAAGTTCAATGTTTCAGATAGTGTCAAGTTCCCCAAAATTCAATCAATAAATTAAATGCAATCTCCATCAAAATTCTAGTAAGTTTTACTGTAGAAAGTGACAAGCAGATTCTATAACATATGTGAAATTGCCAAAGGCCTAGACAGTCAAAGGAACTTTTGAAAAAGAACTGAGTAGACATATTACTACCTGATTTCATGACTTATCAGGCAAACTACAATAATTAAGAGTGTGGTGTTGTAGTAAGTATAAATACTTAGATCAATGGAACAGAACAGAGTTCAGAAACTGGATCACTCAGATGGAGCCAAATGATTTTTTACAAAGATGCCAAGATCTTTTCAATAAATGAAAAGATGTCCATTTGCCAAAAAATGAACCTCAATCCTTACTTTACACCTTCTACAAAAATTAATTCTAAATGAATGTTAGCTCTAAATGTAAAACCTAATACTATAAAATGGCTAGAACACATATGAAAAAATTTTTGTGATCCTGTACTATGCAAAGATTTTTTAGGACGTAAGCACGAACCATGAAAAATATATGATAAGCTGAACCTTATCAAAATATACAACTTTTATTCTTCAAAAGACATTATTAAGGAAATAGCACTTACCACCAAGGGAAAACATTTGTAAAAAAACACATATGTAATAAAGAACTTGTAGCCGAATTTACAAAGAACTCTCACAGCCTACTAAGATAACAACTTATTAGAAAGAAAAAGCAAAAGATACGGAGACTTCACCAAAGAAGATACAGCAATGGCAAACAGCACATAAGCAGGTGCTCAAGATCATTAGTTTTAAGAAAAATGACCATGAAAACACAAAACTAAAATTAAAAAATTTTAGTTAGTAGAGTGACTAAAAAAACTGACCATGTGCTTATGACCACATCAAGTGCTATCCAGGATGCAGAGCCATAGAAGTCTCACCCACTGCTAAGTTGGAATGTATAATGGTGCACTTTGGAGAAGAGTTTGGCAGTTTCTTTATAAAGTTCAATATATACTTATTATACTAATCCACTTCCGGGTATTTACCTAAGAAAGACAAAAACAAATGCCCAGAAACAAAACTGCTCATTAAAGTATATAGCATCGGGCCTCCCAGGTGGCGCAGCGGTTGAGCGCTGGGCCTCTGCAGTGCCGGTTCGATCCCCGGCTGCTCCCCGGCCACCGGAGGAGGGTCCCGCATGGCTTGCAGACCCCCCCTGCCGCCCGCTGCTCCCCTCAGCAGTGTACTTCGGTCCTTCTGCCTGCTCTGCTCCCCGCTCTGGCTCTGGTGAATACTATCACCCTCCCGCTCTTCTGACTGTACCCAGTGTTTGTATGTATCAATCAATCAATCAATAAATCTTTAAAAAAAAAAACAAAAAAAAAAAATAAAGTATATAGCATCCTTACTTAATAACTAAAAAATACACACAACCCTCAATGTCTACCAACTGGTTAAGAGATAAATTGTTAGAGCCTATATGCAGCAAGATAAAGGATTACACGACTGATACAGAACATGAATGACTCTCAAAAAAATTATGCTAAGTTAAAGTATATGCTATATGATTCCACTGAAAAGAAATTCTAGAAATGGCAAAACTAAAGTGACAGAAAAAAAAATCACAATTAACCATGACCTGAGATGGAGATAGGAAACTGTAAGGAGGCAAAAGGAAATGTTTGGAGGCAAGGATGTTCTATATTCTAATTTGGGGGCGGGGGTTGTATAACTATACACATGTCAAGTCACTGAACTGTATACTCAAAATCTGGGAATTTTATTGTAAGGAAATTATTGCACAATAAAACCCACTCTGTAAAAATGTAATAAATCTAATCCTGAAATAAGGTAAGAACCCAATCTACCACAGCATTCAGGGATGAGAGTAAAATAGCATTCATTATTGTAGGAGACTAATAATATAAATTAATAGAAAGTGAGTAATTTAAAAACATTTCTTTGGGGAACATTCATACTTTTATATACTTTAAAAATTCTTTTCATTTCTGGCATATGATTAATCTGCTGTTAGTCAAGAGTATAGATATTTAAATGTTCATCTTCTACAACAGAAGTCAATATATAATAAACAGGATAAACTCATTTAGAAATATGCAAGCAAACAGCAGAAATTGGATGAGGTAACACACACATTATATAGGAAATTATTATATAGGGCAAAGAAATTTTATTTTACTTTACAAGTCAGTATTGACTTTTAAAACTATATACATAAATCTATTACTTTTTTTTAAAATGTTATAAATTTGAAATAAAAGTTAACTAGGTCAGTTTCTATTCTTAGCAGGGCCAGAATTAAGAAGCATATAAAAAAGTCACACATTACATTAGGCCCTTCATATACTCTTCATAATTTGCATCTGCAGATTCAATCAACCTCAGATCGAAAATGTGTGCTATGTAGTTTGACCAATAGTGGTTGTGTCTGTGCTAAATGTGTACAAATTTCTTGTCATTATTTCTTAGAATACAGTATAATGACTATTTAAATAGCATTTACATTATATTATTATGAGTAACCTAAAGATGGCTTAAATTATACAGGAGGATATGGACAGGTTGGATGCAAATTACATCAGCTCATATAAGGGACTTGAGGGCCCATGGATTTTCATATTCATGGGAGTCCTGGAAAAAATGCATTGTGGACACTAAGAGAAGACGGTATTTATGAAACAATCATTTTTTAGGTGAGAGTACAAGATTGGAAACTAGAATTTTGAAGATTAAAATTATTGCTCTTAGCATATTTTCAATAGTTAAAATGGGATATGTAAGAAGATAAACCAATTAGACTACTCATTGAGAACACATTCTAATACAGAGCAACATTCTTGATTGTGAGTGTGACATGATAACACACCTAAACAGGTGTGCTCTTCCTATATTTCTGAATCTTATATAGTGTTATAAATCAGTGGTATTTCATTAAAGAAGAGGAGATGGTGCACGGGTACACTGGTGAAGGAAACTCTATGGGGACTACACCTGAGGGGCTGGGGGGAAGCAAATATTGTTTAAAAATGAACACTGATGTAAAAAACTAAAAAATATTTTAAAAATTTTTTTAAATTTAAATTTTAAAAAATGGAGAAAATATCAATGATTTTCTAAATCACTTGACTTCCAAATTGTACTTTAATATTTTAGGAAAGAATCAGGAATGAAATAACTCGTTGGGGGAAAAACAACTGGTACCCCATAATTAATTGCATTACCTATAATAAAAATGTATAAATACTAGGACATTGATCTTAATTTTTATTATTAATATATTCTATTCTTCCTTATAGCACTAGAAGCAGACACTGATGTTATACATCTATTTCAAAGAATGTTGTCTAAGAGAAGCACCACACATGGAAAAATGATTCTCAAAGGAAATGGGGAGAAGTTGGCAGGATAGCTGACTCGCCTTGCTTCTTCCAAGTGGCTACACTCCCCACTCTGCACCTCTTACAGCTTTACTTCAAGTTTTAAAGAAATCATTGCTGCATATTCATCCCTTTACCCTACCTTTAGTTATTTTTAGCTTTTGTCATAAGTTCAAGACTCTTCTTTAAGTTACTGCAATAAATAACAGGGAATCATTCTTTTAAGTCTTACTGAGGTATAATTTACATTCTATAAAATTCAACTACTTTAACAGTTCAATGAGCTTCAATGAGTTTCAGTAAATTTATACAGCTGTGTAACCACAATCTAGTTTTAGAACACTTCCATAACCCCAAAAGTTCGCTCAGGTCCATTTGCAGTCAATCTGCACTGCCACCCCTACATCACCACTAAACTGCTATCTATTGCTATAGCTTTATTTATTTATTTTTTAAATTTAATTAATTTATTTATACAAGCCCTGGATAGTCAGAAGCGTGGGAGGGTGAGAGAATTCACCAGAGCCAGAGCGGGGAGCAGAGCAGGCAGAAGGACAGAAGTACACTGCTGAGGGAAACAGCGGGCTGCAGGAGAGGTCTGCACACCATGCAGGACCCTCCTCCGGTGGCCAGATTGCAGCCAGGGATCCAACCAGCGCTGCAGAGGCTGCGGGCAGCTTCCCAACCCAGCGCTCAACCACTGCGCCACCGGGGAGGCCCTATAGCTTTATTTTTTTTATGAATTTCATATACTGTAATCATAAAATATATAATCTTACATACTGTTTTGTGGCCTATACATGTTGATGTATACATGAGTAGTTTCTTTCTTTCTAGTGCTGGGTAGCATTCCATTGTATGAATTACTACATTTTGTTATATTTTCACCAGCTCACAATTTGATTGTTTCCAGCTTCTGATTATTCTGAATTATGCTATAACTAACCGTTCACATTCAAATTCTCAGCAGACATGTAGAATAGGAGAGCTTCACCTTAAAGGACAGTGACTCACACTTGCTACTCTCTTACCATTAACATCCAAGTTACTTTCACACTGAAAACGGCAAATCTACAAAATCATGCTCACAAAGTTTTCAGCCATTATTTTCTTAAAAAATTGTACCAGAATTATTGGTTTCCACAGTTCAAGTCAAACTTTGTACTTTTATTTTCATTTTCTCCTCCACCACCCCTTGTATCTACTTGTCTCTTTCTCCTTCCCTTTCTCTTAACCTCAGCACCCTCACTTCATTTATTAATGTCCACTAGTTTTTATAAACATTTTACTTTGTCAAATTGTTCACTATGTAAATGTCTAGTATTTGTCTTTGTCATTCTAACTTGCTTTGCTACACATAATTCCCTTGAACTCCCTTTATTTTGCAGTAAATGGCAGGATTTCATCTTTCCTTATTACTAAATAGTACTCCATAGTACAAATGTATCACATCTTGTGGATCTATCAATGGGCATTTAGTTTGCTTCTCTGTCTCAGCTCTTGTAAATAAATACTGCATAGAAGGTAAGTTTTTACACTGATAGTTTCATGTTCTTTGGGTAGATGATCAAGAGCAGGGCTGCTTGGTCATATGGTATTTCCATTTCTAGTTTTTAAGGAAAATCCTGGTCATTTCCATAATGGCTGCAGCAATTTACATTCCCATCAAGAGTGTAATGAGGGCCTCCCCTGGTGGCGCAGCGGTTGAGAGCTGGGCTGTGAAGCTGCCCACAGCCTCTGCAGCAATGCCAGTTAGATCCCCAGCTGCAGCTGCCAGTGACGGTCCCACATGGTATGACAGACCTCTCCTGCAGCACCCGCTGCTCCCCTCGCAGTGTACTTCGCCAGTCTGCCTGTTCTGCTCCCCGCTCTGGCTCTGGTGAATTCCTCACCCTCCCGCGCTTCTGACTGTACCCAGTACTTCTATAAATAAATAAATAAATCTTTAAAAAAAAAAAAAAAAGAGTGTTATGATAGGGTTCCTCTTCTTCACATCCTCTCCAGCACTTGCTGTTGGGAGCCTTTTCAGTATGTGCCATTCCACAGGTGTGGGATGGTTTCTCATTGTAATTTTAACCTGCAGCACTTTTACTGGAAGTGATGACGAACATTTTTTTCATGTATCTATTGGCCTTCTAGATATCCTCTTTGGTGAATTGTCTGTTCATCTACTAAACCAAGTATTGTCTCTTATTAAGAATTAGTTACTTAAATTAAAACATAAATAAGTTTACTCTAATACTAAGTTATGGAATCCCTTTAGCTCCTTGAATAACACTACTCCTCAAGCAACACTATGAATCTATAGTATTTTATAGTAAACTTCTATAATCCTTTCCTATAAATTTAGACAATTTACTCTCTGTCACCAAATAAAAATAGCCCTGTTCCTAACATCTTATTGATTTGTACTATTCACCACTTTATTATATAGGTATCATATCTTTCCAAGTATTCCATAAACTTCCCTATGGTAGGGAAGCAGGTATAGCAATAGATCTCTATAAATAGTGTAAGTTCAATAAATCTGGTTATTAATTACCTTCAAAAAAGCAGTTTCAATAGCTAGCAAAAAAAAAAAAAAGTAAATTGCAAAGAGGGAAAAAGAGCCCTGGCAGAAGGCATTAAAGCAGCAGGTGCAGACTACACATTTCAAGCCTTTGGCAGAGCAGAGAAGTGGAGCACTAACACATAAATTTCAAGTTACAGTCACTGAGTCTTAGTTTTTAAGTAAATTATTACTAAGGACTGTTTGTTGATTCCAGAGAAGCAAATCCCAGGAATTTGTCTCCTTTCCTATTCTACCTGTGGGATTTACTGTGCATACCAAGCCAGTTTCTCCATCAAAAAAATAGAGAAAATAATTTCACTTTGCCTCACAAAATTCTTCTGAAATTCAAGTGAGATAATAATATATGTTAAAGGATTTTACATACAAGTAGTACATAAAATATCATTATGACATAGAAGATATTACCAGATGCATAAGAGGAACAGCAACTTCCACATAGGTAACCTTTTGATCAGGAAATTAAGATACATATACTCATCAACTCTGTATTTCCCTTGTTTTAGATGACTAATAAATGAAAATTTTTTATTTTCTTTCTACCTTACGTAGCCAGATAGTGAAATCTCTATTAAACCTAATAGTTGGTTTAAAGCCAATATGAAATCTACAGCGTCCCCTTGTAATTGCACTAACAACACTATTTCTCAAGTACCCCAGTATTAGAATTTTATCTTTGCCTCCCCCTACCCCAAGAAGCAGAAATTTTAAGTAAATGGTAGGAGAAATAATTCTAAATGTTTAGCTTTAACATAATATACCTAGGTTTTAATTACTGATGCCTTAACCAGAGAAATGTGAAGAACAAAGAAATTTCTATTTATTCTTGTAAATGCTATATGTCACGCTACATATTTTCATCCCAAACCTACCCTACCTCTAGATCTACACTTAAACATAAACATAGCATAGTAAGTTTATGGCTAGTTATTTTTATAATTAAAAAATTAAGTTTAAAAGATACAGAATAGTCTTAATGAAGAAAGTCAAAGCCAAAAAAAAGGGAAACATACAACTTCAATGATTAATTGAAGGAAGAATTAAACTTTATTTTAGGGATGTCAAATACGCACAGTGGAAAAACTCAGCTCTTGAGCTATTACTTACAGAAGCCACAAGATTTTCTGCATCAGTTAATGAAAGCCCCAATTCCTACTCCCTAACCCAGGTCCCCAAGTGACTTCCCAGCTATCTCTGTGTGGAATTCCGCAAAGTCCTAAGGCTTCCCCAAAGTCTTCAGGCAAACTTAGTTACCAGAAAATTGCTCTGTGCCTCTCTAAAATGAATGTTTATATTCTCTAGACAAACCTTTGGGAATCAGGAAAAAGCACTAATTTCTCTTATCAATGGAAAAGGCAGCATCTGTTGATCTTTTAAGAAGGCCTCTCACTTCCTTCCTGGAACAAAAACACTGAAGAAATTAGACACAACCAAAAATCTTCAAAAATGGAAGAAACTATGTCTGAGTACATCCAGACAAGTATTCCCTAGAGACCTGTTCTGACTGAAGAGTAAGCATCTTCTTTCTTTTTCATCTTTTGCTTTAAAATATCCCCAATCAATTCAATCTTAACATTAAATCTGGAAATAACAGTCAAAAATTTCGCAGCATGGTCTGTCCTTCATCCTTATAAACAAACAATGTCTACTAACTTTGTACTACTCTACTTAAATATTTTTATCCCTTTAACAAAATCCTTGGTTCTGTTTTTTTATTGTTGTTTTTTTTTTTTACATCCTGCCTGAGCTATTTCTAATTTTTACAAATTCTTGGACTTGGGCCTCCCTGGTGGCACAGCGGTTGAGTGCTGGGTTGCGAAGCTGCTCGCGGCCTCTGCAGTACCTGTTCCATCCCCGGCCGCCGGGTGAGGGTCCCACATGGCATGCAGACCTTTCCTGCCACCCGCTGCTCCCCTCAGCAGTGTACTTCATCACTCTGCCTATTCTACTCTCCACTCTGGCTCTTGTGAATTCTCTCACCCTCCCATGTCTCTGACTGTACCCAGTGCTTAAATAAATAAATAAATAAATCCTTAAAAGAAAAAAAAATAAATAAATAAAAAAAAAACTTAAAAAAAAAAAAAAATTCTTGGACTCTTCAAGTTTAAAGTTGGCCCAAGCTTACCTTTACTATGTCGCTATGTGCATTGACACGTATTGCCAAGTCTCTCAATGCACTGTCCCCTCAGTCGCAGACCCCCCCATTTTAATAATCCCAGTGAGGAGTTATTTGGTTGTCTTTCCAGGTTCTATTCCTTTCCTTGCACACAAGTCTGATTATGATTCTTTTGACTTCATTATCTAAAAGGGCCAAATCCCCAGGGGTAGTGGTAAAAGGAATCCATTTGGCTGTTCAATGCTATTCCTGACTTGCTACTTGAGAACTAAGGTTGGTAGGGCCTGCACCTCTGCCTGAGCCAGTGTGTGCTTCTCCCTCCCTCCAGCTGCCATTTCTAAACCTCCTGCTTACTACCTGTTGGCAGTGCTGGTGTTGCTGCTTCCGCTGCTGTGTTTCTGTGCCCGGCTCAATCTTCTTGGGGATTTTGAATGCTGCAGTCGGGGGCTCGGCATGGAGGGGAAGGTTGAGGCGTAGCCATGTTCACACTCTAAAGAGAGAGCAAGAAGAAAAAAGTAAGTTTACCCAAATCCATGGATCCACAGATGTGAAAGTCTTTGCAGTAACAGTTGCTGAAAACAGAAGGAAGAGGTAAAAATTTTCCACTCTCTTTGGTTGCAACAAAAAATCCCTGCGCTTCCTCTCAACATCACTCCTGTGACATTATATACAGATGACAACTACCACCTGGAAGTTGGGCAATTACCTTCCCTAAGCCAGGTGAGTTCTTCCTCCTCACTCAAGTCCTTTTCTCCAAGACTTCTTGACTCAAACACCCTAATTTCTGAGATCAGTGTCCATTCAACTCAATTAACTTCACCTGCCTCAAAATTCCCATTTTCCTTGAACTCTCCTCATTCTAGGAGTCTCTCTAATGCCCCTATTTCCACGTACTACAACTAATCCAACCACCCAATCCTAGAACATTTTCTCTCCTGCCACCACAATCACCAGAGTTCCTACTTTACACACCCAATTTCTTCACTTCTCGTGCCTCTGCCCCTGAAGGGATCTGGAAACTCACAAAAAGCCCTTTTTCCCCAGAAGTACTCATCCTTCCGCTCTCCAGCCTCCTTTCCCCAGTCGCGGCCCGCGCACCCCCCGCAGCTCCCTTTCCTCTTTGCTCCCAAGTCCTCAGATTCACCTCCACGCTCCACACCCCGCGCGCCCCGCGCCCCCCCACTTCACCTGTCCCCAGCCTGACCCTCTCTCTCCTCCGCTCCCCTCACAGTCCTCACGGCCCCTTCTCCATGCGCGCGCGCGCACACACACACACCTCACTCACACTCACACACACACACTCACACACACACACGAGGAGCCACGGACGCCCTCCCCTCACTCACGTGTGGCTCCCAAGCACCTCCCCTCACACGCGCATCTCCCTCACACGCGCCCCTCCTCTCACACATCCCCTCCCCACACAAGCACCTCCCCTCACACGCACCCCCGAACCCGCGCACCCCTCGTCCCGCGAGCACCTGTCCTCACACGCGCACCCCCAGCCCGCGAGCATCTCCCCTCCGCGCGCGCCCCCCACATGCACCGCCCGCGCGCCCCGCGCGCCCCGCACGCCCCGCGCGGGCAGGAGAGCGGGGCTCCCGCGGCGCCCGGCCGTTACCTCGGTCCCGGCGCTCCAAAAACTCGGCCGCCTCCAGCAGGCGCTGCACGTTGATCATCCGCACCCGCTCCATGGGCACGGCGGGCGCCGGCCGGGGCCTCTCGGCGCCGCCTTCCCCCGCCGACAGGAGGCGCCACCGGCGACTACAGTCCGGCGCCGCCCCGGGACATGTGCGGCGGCCGCCGGGCCAGCCCCGCCGCGCCTCGGCGCGCTCACGGCCGCCCCCGCCGCGCTGCCGCCCCCGCCGCGCCGCCCGCAGCCCGCGCGCGGTTTGTTTACCTCTCGGCGCGAGCACGGGGAGGGGCGGGAGCAGCGCCGCGCCCCGCCCCCTCCCGCCCCTTTCTCGGCCTCCTGGGAAATGTAGTCCCACCCCCGCCCACGGCCCGACGGGAGTCGTAGTACTCCCGCCGCTTCAGTGCGCCTGCGCGCTGCCCGATTCTGCAACGGCCGCTGGGAGTTGTAGTCCCGCTCGACGGGTGCAAAGACTAAGATGTTAACAGCATCTGGGAAGGAAGAATTCGAGCTAACTGTGAGTCTACTCCCGGAAGCCCTTTTCTAAGAGGCGGCGGGTGCCGAAGAGCTGAGGCAGTCTTTATCTGAGGCGCCAGGTTCTGGTCCTGCTTTCTCCTGTAACTTCTGTTGCCTCAGTTTCCCCATCTGTAAAATGCAGTGCTGGGACAGCACGCACAGAAACACTTGAAAAGCCAAAATCACTTTCAAAAGCAAAGGATGATCGCTGCATCCCATCAGAGCCAGAAAAGGTTCATATTATCCCTTCTCCCACCTGTTTCCACACAGGTAGTTTCTTAATCTTATGTTTAAAAACTACTTTCTTCTGCCTGACGTAGTGATTTTAGAGGCTAGAAAACCTCTCTGCCACCTCAGGTAAAGGATATAATTAATCAGTGAATAAGTAAGTGATTTGGTGCTGGGGTCACACAAGGTCTCATTTTCTTCATGTATAAACTGTATATAAATTATTCCATTAATCCTAACATTGAGGGTCTGCCATATGCCAGGCACTGTACCAGAGAGGTTGTCTAGCCTCTGAACTTCACATGGATCCTCCTCTCAAGGAGCCTGTGGTCACTCGGGCTTATGAAGACTCAGTGAAACAGTTCCAGCAGTTAGCGCATGACACTCAGTAAAAGGAAGCCATAAGGATCGTTTCCTTACAGGTTCTGCATAGAGAAGGAACTGAAAACAATGACTAAAGAGAGCAGGGACCACATTAAAAGACTACCAATAGCTGCCCTCACTGCCACTCTCTTTCCAAGTCCTTGATCTGACAAAACCTCAGTCTAGACCAAAGTTTCTCAATCATAGCATTGACATTTGGGGCCAAATAATTCCTTCTGGGGTATAGGGAACTGTCTCTACTCTGCTGAACTCTAGCATGTCTAGCAGCATGCCAGGCCTCTATCCTCTAGATGCCAGGAGCCAGCTACCACCCCTGAGGTGTGACAACCAAAGAAGTCTCCAGATATTGCCAAATATTTCCTGGGGCACCAACCCCTCACCCTCTTAAGATGAGAACTACTAGTCTAGAGAGAGGAAGGATAAGAGGGTCATAACTTTTGCATGTTCTAGGAACATGCTAGAAATTGTGTAAACAGCCATAACTTTTTCCCACCCTGATTATTTTAACCTGCACTGGACATCCAAAATAACAGGAAGCTCTTGGTGAGGGGAGAATTTCCTTTCCCCTGTGGTCATCTCAATGGCTACTGCAGTAAATACCACCTCAGGGTGGAAATCTTACTTGAATAAATGTCGTGAACTTCATGTTGCATCTTAATCCCCTCTCCCTTGTATATTTTTTTTTTCTCAAAGGGAACAACATTTCCAATCAGGTCAAAAGCTGCAAAATTCTGCCAGTCTTTTAAATATTACACTTAGCACCATATTTAAGGACCAAATAGATATTCCATCAATGCAGAGAGACCCAAAATGAGAGGTGTTCACAACCACAGGAAAACTGATTGATTGATTGATTGATTGATTGATTGCAAAGGTTTTGAAGCAGGGAAGTGTGCTTTTTCAGCTGTTGACAAGGTTGCTTCAGATCTGGGTTTTCCCACTGGGTGTTGGTAACAACCACCTTCTACCTTCAACAAGAGACATGTTAAGTAGGAATAAAATGGAAATAGTTTAAAGGAAAAACCTGTTCACTTAGAACCTCTGTTATTTGAGGATGGGCATTAGAAGGCTGGAAGTTAGTTTCTACCACTTGCAGAACCCCCTTTAAGCTTTAGATCCCAGAATGTTGAAGGCTACCCCTGGACCTTAAAAGAGGTAGTTTTATGACAAAGAAAAGCCCACTTTATCTAATGGGAGGTAAACACATCTGGCAAGCAATCAAGAAAAATAGTACAAACTGAAAATATAAGTGGATTCAAGGTGGGTTTAAATCCATACATCACAAGATCTAGCATGTTAAGAAAAAGCTCCAGGCTTAATGCACATGCCTGGTCTTTCACAGTTGACCGCCAGATGAATTAACCAGCCCTTTCTTTAGAGCCATGGCCAGGAGGGAAATGAGGATGGAAAGGAGAGCAAGAGTCACCAAAAGCCCACCTATATATGTTGAAGAAGAGAAGCATACCGGTGATGGTGGGCAGATAGGGGTGGTAAAGCCTGGTTGAGGTACAGAAATACCCAGTCTTTTCTAACAGCAACTCAAGGTGCCACTTCCTTCTCCCTGCTCTGGTTGGCTCCCAGAGTTCTTTCCCAGGCATTGTCCCCAAGAGGGCCTCTCAAGCACAAAGCCAGGGGTTCTAGCTTCAAGAGAGTGACCCACAGGCGATCCCTCAGCCCCAGTCCCAGCCTGTAGGAATGCAGAAGCAGCCATAGTCTTTCCTTTGCTGAGATGAATGCAGTTTGCATGATAGATGCAGATGGGAAAACTGAGGAAAAGCAAAGATTCCAAAGGCTACTGACAGAAGAACCCATAGTCTTACCATAGTCTCTGGCTCTGTTCTGTCCCTAATGTATCTCTCTCAGGGGAGTGTCACTGGAAGATGGAAAAAGTCCCCCAGGGTCTTGCAGGCCTGTAACAAACACAGCCTGAAGGGGACAAGCTGCCTTCTGGGGGAAGCCAGCAAAGAGCTAAATTTAAGCCGAGGGGTCTCTCTTTCCCCACGCCAGCCCCAGCCCCAGCCCCAGCCCCAGCCCCAGCCCCAGCTTCCGAAGCACTCATTTCCAAACGCGTTATTGCAGATTCACGTTAGTGCCATGGAGGAGACGGGTCTGGGTTGTCTTTTCCGCAAGGAGGGAAAGAGGGGACAGGATCACAGGGTTAACTGCAAGTCCAGGGTCACCGTGTGGGTGACACCTGCACTGAAGACAACTTCCCTGCAAAGATCTTGCTGGGCAGCGAGCGGTTTTCTGCAATTGTGTTAAAAGATGGAGATTTTCAAATAACCAAGGTTGGGAACAGGGGCGGACGAGTCCTGAGCTCCTGAGTGAGAATTCTAAGGATGCTCCATCTTTCCATCCCCCACCCCAAAGTGACAACCGCAGTTACGTCCCCACGACTCCCCTCAGAGCCCAGAAATGTGAAGAACAGCAGAAAACCTTTCTCTCTGCCCAGTGAGTCAGCCTCGCTAACTTCATGCGTAAGCGCTCCTCAAGTCGGCGGCGGCTCCGGGCTGCGGGTCTGCGTGCAGCCGAGATAAATTTGGGTCTAGAAGGGATGACGTAATGCTAAACCCGAGAGGTAGCTGCGCCTCCCAGGGCTCCAGTCGCCAGGGCTGCCGGCTAACATCCCAACCTCACGGAAAAGCACCAAGCACCCAGGTGCCAGAAGCAGGGAGAAAGGCGACGAAAGGACAAGTTGGGGGGAGGAACTGGGGCGGGGGCGGGGGGCG